AAATCGGATCGCAGCAGTCAATTTCGGCACACAGGCAATGTTAATTTATGAGTAAATCATGATTTATTTTTCCTAGAAGAGAAATCTGGGAAGTGTAAGGAGAAAATGTTAGTAAGACCTGCTCGAAGACCATAAATCCTCAGAGATGACAGGTCGGCACAATCTTGAGGAAGACAAATCATATGTTCCGCTACCCTCTAACATTTTCTTCACCTAGAAACTGCTTAATTCAACAGTATTTTTTCGAAATTGCAGTTCTGCAATTTCAGCTTCAATCTCGCTACAAACATTGCTACAGCTCACACAAATTCATCTCTTTGCTGCCACCGAGCCAAGAAGATTATTGGAGGTGATGCAAGTTGAGGCTCAGCTTTTTTCAAAGCCATGACAGGTTGTGCTAGACTTTGAACGGAAGGAGGAATTAGGAACTAAAGAAAGCTAGCTATCAGTAGAATGTGTAAGAATTTTTCATACTCAGTAAACTCTGATGGACTACTGCTTTGAATGCGATTCAGTAGTACCAGTTTTCAGAACGTGCTGTCTATGCACTTTTTCAGTTCACTGAAAACTGTTTGAAAAATGTAGAAAAATGATTTTTCGGCAAGAAATGTATTCATTTGGAGTCTACATTCTGCAAACTCGGAAACATGATATGGTACTTGCAATACCTGGAGATGTTTAAACATACCTGGCGCAGATGGGAGAGCCTTGATAATCTAAGTAGTTGTTCATACGGAGGAAGGATTGCAATCGAGGAAATCCGAGTCCACAGCCCTAGAAATAATATGGTTACTGGCTTTTACACATGAGAAATTGGACCTGTATATTCATCTTGATTTAATCCGAATATAAGGGAAGGGCAAGAACATATGAGCGTCTAAGAGTTCTTTGCCGCAAAGAGTATTAGGATCTGTTTTATTCCTACTCGATCATAAGTTGTAGTATAAGTAAACTTTGTTGAAGGAAAACTCCCGAATATCACGCTATACCCAGACTTTATGATAAGGGATCTGACATTATATTATAACAAGAAAATTACTTACAAGCATTACCGCTTCGATGGTATCAAAAGCAACTGGAGAACTTGACACATGAGCAATGAGATAGAACTTTGCAATTTTCTGCTTGAAATAACCGAAAACAGTGGTCTCTACACGAATTCTTGACAACTTCACTTCCTAGTCAAAGTAAGTCATTGTCATGACGTGATGCAAGTTTTTATATAGCATCACAGCACGTCGATTTTCTATGCTTAAGCACTTTCCACATATTTTTTGAGGAAAAATTCACTTCACAAATGCTCCGTATTGAGCTCAGTTTCTACTCATTTCTCTTACCTGCTCGATTCCGTCGAAATCAACCACGCAGTAGTTACCACGGCATTTTCGTAGGCAACTATCGCTAGGACATCGTTCACCCTGTCGTTCAGAACATGCACAGCATTCCACTGTCGGAAGCCGATTTGTCAAATAATTGTTCATCTGGAAATTGTCATCTTTATAGAATTTCCTTCCTTAAAAGATGCTTCAATACTTGCAGAATAGCTACTGAATTGCTTGTATCCTTCAATCCTTATCGCAATGAATAATTTTCATATAAAAGAGACTTTTATTATTATCTCCAGGCAAATTTGAGCTCTAGATTTTTTATGGGGATACTATGGCATAGTTTTTTTT